ACCCCAATGAAATCGGAGGAATTTCAGTATCTTTGTAATAAATTTCAAACCAGAATATTCTATACAGCCCACTATAATCCTAAAGCAGATCCACTAGAACGTGTGAATCGCGTTGTTGAGGCCATGATCAGAACCTTTACAAATCAAAACGACCATCGCACTTGGGATGAGAATTCAATAGCTTGTGCCATCCGAACGTCAAAGCACGAAACAACAGGTTATACGCCCTATTTTGTAAATTTCGGTAAAGAACACAGGCGTCACAGTTGAGAATTACGTCAACATGACGTATTCGTAGTGGGGTCGACAGCAGTGGTACCTCTCGGAATATCCTATAAACTTAAATTTTGCTTGGACTGCAAGTGCCTACATAGAGTAGCGGCACTCTTCAGTCTGGCGAGGCTATATCCAACCGATCTTTTGTTTTTGCTTGTTTTGATTCCTGGCGGTTGGTTTGTTTGTCGAAGAAATCCATTATGGAACCAGTGCACATGGTTTCCCATACTTTACTTGGATTACGCAACTCTGGAAAATTTCGCTGTTCCATCAAAATTCTGAGCAAGTTAGGAATCAGCTGTATTATTCATTGTCGGTAGGGGTATCTGCCCTCGAAGTAATTGTTTCAGATGATTTCTATTTTTTCATATCTCGCGAAATCTTGCTGTGTGGTGTTTTCGTCAGTCATTCCCGTCGAGGAAAACTATAGCAGTCTGAGATATCCTTTCGTACACCTTGCCTATATAACTTTGAATTTTATATCTTCAGTTTGTTTTTTGTTACCTTGTATAATGATAATTTTATTGATTAGCTTTTATCTTTTTCTTGTTCTTGCCTTCTGTCTACTTTACGATGCTATCGTCGAGAATCTTTGAAGAAAGATTTTCTCCTTTGAAAGAAAGGGGAGAGTTGTAACATTTTAATTTTGATCTTCCCATTAAATGAGTAATTCAGCGAATATTATTTTTCTGCGATTGACAAAAAATGTCAGCATTTTTGACCGGTTGACAGGTCGCAAAACCCAGGTAGGTATTTCAATTATGTTTCAATAAATGCTAAGGAATCGATGAATAACAATACGGGAATTACTTCTCTGGCCTAGGTTGGGAAAGTGATTCTCGTACTGCTGAACAAGATAGATTGGCGAAGGAGAAAAAAAAATGTCACAACTCCCCCTTTTCTACAACAGGAGGAAAAGTAACAGAGGAAACTTTTCCGACGATCAGCAAACGATTCACTTTTTTTTGATGCTGCTCAACACCTTTCACTTGATAAAATCCCTTGCTATGGTACGCTGGATAGCCATACCGTCTGTAGCCATCAATCCATCAACATCAATTCGGAAATTCAGCATCATCCTAGCGTATTATCTTGGTGATATGCCGCCTTAGTGATACATTACCTTAGTGATGTGTTACTTAGTTTATTATGGTATTTCATTTCCATTTATTATTTGTAGTAAGGTTTTGTTAGAGTTGGTTGAGAGTTATTTTGCACTATTCACTATATGACCTTTTCTTAGTACTGCAGTTTTTGTTCTAACTGTGCGTGGCTTTCTTGGCGCGAAACGGGACAACCGCACGCAGTTTGGCTGAGAGTTGCGGCGGTTACCTTTAAAATTTCATTACAAGTTTTTTTTTTTGTTTTTGAGTTATATTGCCTATATTCGACTTTACCTCATGTTCAGTTATTTTGGTTTGTACTGCGGCCTTCCACCCTGGTTGTGTGTGTAGTTTTCTTGGCGCGAAACTTGAAGACCACACGTGGCCTGGGTCAAGCTAAGTGGTGACAGGTGCCAGTGCCTCTGGAGACGGCAGAAGGAATGGAAGAATGGGGTTCGGGGGGTATCCACCTAGCTGCTATTCCTAGTGGGACGTGTTACGTCACCCCCACAACATGGATGCCAAATGCTGGGTGGGTGCTATTGCGTTCCACCTCAGCTCCATTTTGCCTATCAGGCTTTTGGGATCACTGGCAGTATCATCATTTGGAACACCCTTTTCAATTTCATTTTTGGCTGCCCACAATATAATTTTGTGACTGCTCGGTGCCTTACCCGTAAGAGAGGCATTTTTCAGCCTAGCGGAGCTATATCTTGCTACCAACTGTTGGTGGGTGTTGTGGGAAAATTTAAATCTCTACTCCCTTGTCTTTTATCTCTTCTGCCCACTCTTTGGTCGTTTTGTGGTGGAGAGCTTTGGAAAGTTCTGCACTGGCATCCAGTGCAAGACCAGTGCACGAGGTTCTACTATGGAATTCAAGTGTAGAACGCAACATTGGTTACGCAAAATTCAAATGACATCTGCAAACAAAATAAAAATTAAAAATTTGCACTGGTACTAGGTAGGAACGATCCGGGGGATTTCGCCACAGGACTGCCAAAGCTTCCTTACTTCTGATCCTTTTCTCTCTTTTTTTTTTCTATACCTTTACTTTCATGATGATGGGTATCTTACCTTCGTGGTTTTTCATAAGGTGAAGTAAGCAGATACTTTACACGAAACTTTACTGGGACTTCATATTTGATGTTTTGGCTTATTGATATTTGGTTTTCTCTCTCTCTCTGACGTTCCCTATCTCTGTCTTGTTTCTCAAGCTTGGCTGATCGTCGGAAAAGTTTCCTCTGTTACTTTTCTTCCTGTCGTAGGAAAGGGGGAGTTGTGACACTTATCAGCACTCTGTACAGATAAGTGTCTTTTCCACACGCAAACATTTATAGGAACGACTCTTCGCGTCGTTCGTATAACATATCCTGCAAACAAAATAAAAATTTAAAATTAAAAAAAAATGTATTAGAATTTTTTTTCTCTCTGCACTGGGTAGCAGGTAGGAACGATCTGGGGGATTTCGCCACAGGACGGCCAAAGCTTCCTTACTTCTCTTCCTTTTCTTTCTTTTTTTTTTTTTTTTCTCTTCTACCATTTTGCTTATTTTTACCTTTACTTTCACTTTACCTGATGATGGTTATCTTACCTTCGTGATTTTTCATAAAGTGAAGTAAGCAGATACTTTACACGAAGCTTAACTTGGACTTTATATTTGATGTTTTGGCTTATTGGTATTTGGTTTTCTCTCTTTCTGACGTTCCCTATCCCTGTCTTGTTTCTCAAGCTTGGCTGATCGTCGGAAAAGTTTCCTCTGTTACTTTTCCTCCTGTCGTAGGAAAGGGGGAGTTGTGACACTCATCAGCACTCTGCGCGGATAAGTGTCTTTTCCACACGCAAACACAGTTATAGAAACGACGCTTCGCGTCGTTCGTATAACATATCCTGCAAACAAAATAAAAATTTAAAATTAAAAAAAAAAATGTACTAGAATTTTTTTTCTCTCTGCACAGGGTACCAGGTCGGAACGATCTGGGGGATTTCGCCACAGGACGGCCAAAGCTTCCTTACATCTCTTCCTTTTTTTCTTTTTTTTTTCCCCCTTCTACCATTTTGCTTATTTTTACCCTTACTTTCACTTTACCTGATGATGGTTATCTTACCTTCGTGGTTTTTCATAAGGTGAAGTAAGAAAATATTTTACACGAAGCTTTACTTGAACTTCATATTTGATGTCATGCCTTATTGATATTTGGTTTTTTCTCTCTCTGACGTTCCTTATCTCTGTCTTGTTTCTCAAGTTTGGCTGATCGTCGGAAAAGTTTCCTCTGTTACTTTTCCTCCTGTCGTAGGAAAGGGAGAGTTGTGACACTAATAAACCTATGAAGGCCGTAGAGACATATATATATATTTTTTTGTTTTCTTTTGAAAATAGACTTGTTAGTTACTATCGTGTATTGTGAGTTCCAGTTCTAACTCCCTGCTCCAGCGGAAAGCCAGAAGGGCCTTACAATGATATGAAATTCCATCATATTGTCCACATTACTGCTCATCACTTTCGATGATATGATTATGCCCACTTCATCGAGATATTGAATGATAAATTAATATTAGAAAAAGTTGATACTTTTATGTTGACTTATTATGAAGTAAATTCTTAGGACTGCTCATCATCCAATGGACAACCATCAGCCTCAAAGTAAATTCCTACAGTAACATGATTACATAAGCAAAGTGGCTGCCTTTGCTATGTTTTAACTTTAAACTTAGTTATTGCCAATTAGGACGAAAATATGTTCCCCCCAAAAAAGAGTTATGTTGCCAATAAAGCTGGTCACCCAAACACAAGATAAATCGTGTCTCTCGGAAAGTATTGAAGCGGGAAAATTGATCAATGTTGATTGATACGGCCCCGACAGCAAACTGTCGAATTAATGCTTCCTGTGTGTCTTTTTTAATTGAGAAAGATGGAGCGTGTATGCCAAAAAAAAAAAAAAAATCGAAACTGAACTATAGTATAGGTACACTAATGGAAAACAATGACATTGCGAAAACTTTCTTGTATTTATCTGGATTCCTAGGGCTTCAATCAATGAAGTATGATAAATGAATACTTCAATGGTCCAATCAGTATTGTAACAGTTTTTGCCTAACTATTTTTGAGTATAACAAAATGGGAAAAGCTGCCATACAAAAATATATAAAAGGTGACACAATTATTAAACGACCTTATTATCTCATCGCAAAAGGAAAAGCTGAAATCCAGATCCTGAAACTTATCAGTTTTAATAAAGCCCTCTCCTAAAACGATGTCGCCAGGTAGGTATATAGGATATTTTTCCTCTCTTTTTATAACAGACGAAAAGGTGGTAATGCCCCTAGGGAATAGTATCCCAGGATCGATGGCTACGTTTGTATGCACAGAACCTGACCGGTCAAAAATATTTCGCTTGCCTTTGGCAAAAGAGTAGATCCGATTTGGGTTTAAAGCCCTTGGCAATTTCCTTAGGCTTTTCTCAATGGACTCTATTGAAAGAATATTTTATTTGAGGCAATCTACTTTCCCGGGATTTGTTTTCGAACAAAAAAAAAACGAGTTGTATTTGAAACGAAGTTTCGAAATCTATGCATGCACAATACACTATTGAAAATTGCATATAAACCAAACAAAATTCTTACCGGAATTTTCTCTAAGTTTTGGCAAAAAGTGATTCCAAAAGGCGCAAGCTTGTGCACGAGGTCCCCTGCCGATACCATTTTTTTCTGCATTCAAAATAAAATATTGCGGTTGCTCTTTCGTGTACAATGGCCAATTGACGTCGTCGGTAACAGGTTTTCTGAAACAAAGAATCTAATTTATTTTAATGCACTCGCCCGCTATCACTAAAACTTCATCTAAATCCGTACGGCAAATATTTGAAACCCGAACTTCGGAGTACTAATACTGGTCCCGGATAGAGCCTTGATTTAAGCTGTTTGTTCTGCTCAAATCGGATTTACATATTCCCGCGTTTAGTTAGTCTCATTTGTTTAGCAAATTCCGAAATCTACCAACAATAACTTAATTAGAAATGATATTATTTAAAAATAATTTCACGTGCTTGACAGCCAGAGAATGGCTAATTACTGAAATGCCTACAAAATTGGAGCCTAACTTTCCAATTAAATCCTAATTAAATAAGAAACTAGTTTAATTGGATACAAGTTTATTCTATCTGTTCCTTGTCCAGCCAAGCAACTCTCGGGATTTGGTTTTAAGAATTAAAGAATATTTGAATAACTTAATTGAATTGTTGTATCATATTATTATAAATTATGTTGACGCTTATTAAAATAATATTATTTACAGTATAAAATATTAATTGATTTATGTCGTCATTGCAACTATAAAAATGTCGTTTCGTGGAAATAAACGCAATTAATTATTTAATAAATCGATACAATGAATAGCGAATATGACAAAGGGTAGAATTAAATTTAATTGTAAATTTATTGGTAAATAAAGAGCAAATATTGTTGATACAAAAAAGTCAGTTGAAGGCCAAAACGTGAATAAATGATAATGGGGCAACAGTGAAATTATTTATTTAAAAATAAATTGATTAGCGAATGGTATAATTAAAATGTGTGTCGTGCTTTATCCCGTATCATTGGAGCAGTAGAAAAAATCAGGCATAAATATTATTATTGCTAATAGCCTTAATTTGGAGTCAAAATTTTTATGAAAAAATGGAAATTGGAGCAGCAGATAAATCTGCAGTAAATATATTAAAGTTTCATTACTCAAATCCAGCAGTTTGCCCAAACTTTACTCGGATGAAATTTTGTTTTCAATCATGTTGGACCTATGATACTCCTTATCAAGATTTTGAAGCCGATACCAGAAATCCCGAAGAACATCTCTCAATTAACAAACATTTATCTCCAAATATATTGCCACAAAATGTGTGTGGCGCTTTTGCCAGGCTGTACAGCATTGGACAGCTGATTCTAGACTTTACAGTAATATTTCGATCCTTCTATGAACATCCCTAAATTTGAAACTGAAGAATTTGTCGTAACTATACAAGAAGAATCTCCAGCTATTGAGCTCGTGGCCACAAACCCGGTGAGGATTCCTGGAAGTACTGAAAAGATCATTTGCGGGAAATTGGAAACAAACACTGGGTGCTGCGTTGGACTTACACATCATTTTATTGGGGATAACCCAGAAAAAAATATTGTTGCAAAGACTGTAGTAAGAACAAATGCAGATATTATGATAAAAATTGCCAATGCTTCTTCTGAAACAGTAAAAATAAAGGAAAGAGTCTGCGCCAGTAGTATGGTTTACAAACAAAGATGGAAGTCTTAGATTTTGTGTACCGTAAGCTTAATGATGTCACCAAGAAGGGCAGCTTCCCTCTTCCCAGGATAGACGATACATTAACAACTCTATCGGACTCCAAATAGTTTTCCACCTTGGATCTTAAGAACGGATACTGACAAGTGACAATACACAAAGATGACAAAGAGAAAACTGCCTTTAGCTCCTGAAGCGAGTTATACCAATTTAACGTAATGCCTTTCGGATTGTGTAATTCTCCTGCTACGTTCGAGCGACTGATGCATCTGGTTTTGCTAGGTCTCACATGGAGAACCTATCTGGTATATTTAGATGATGTCATGATCATGGGAAATTCCTTCCATGAACATCTCAATAACCTGAAAGAAGTTTTTGACCACTTCCGGAATGCCAACTTAAGACTCAATCCAAATAAGTGTTTTCTATTTCAAAAGAAAGTGGAATTCTTAGGTCACGTGGCATACAAGTTATGGAAGGAAAGATAGATGCTGTCAGGGATTGGCCAAAACCACGCAAGAAACATGAGCTAAGGAGCTTTCTAGGATTATGTTCTTATTATCGAAGATTTGTAGGAGGATTCGCTAACATAGCTGCTCCGCTTCATCGATTAACGGAAAAAACATCAACATTTCAAGAATGCGATTCCGCTTTTAGAAAATTAAAAGCAGCATTGTGTACAAGCCCAGTGTTGTCCCATCCCGATCAGAAAGGAATGTTGATTTTGGACACAGATGCAGGCAATACCAGTATTGGAGCTGTCCTTTCACAAATTCAAATTTCACAAGAGCATGTAGTGGACTGTAGTGCAGTCTACGGCAGGACCTTATCAAAACCAGAACGAAATTATTGTGTCACCAAAAGAGAAATCTCTACGGACGTAAATTTCCAATTCGAACGGATCACGCAGCTCTAAAATGGCTTTTAGAAATGAAAACTCCAGAAGAACAGCTTGCTAGATGGATTGAGAAGTTGCAGCAATACGATTTCCAAATTAAACATCGACCTGAAAACTTGAATAAAAATGCTGACGCTCTGTGTAGACGGCCATGCAAAGAAGACTGCAAGCATTGTCAGAGAATCGACATGCATGAGAAAAACACTGGTCCGGCTTTGAGAAGAAAAGGTCTGATCGTTGATGATAAATGGACTACCAAACAAATGAGAGCAGATCAAGAAGCAGACCAGGACATCGGGCAATTTCTCCATTTTAAGGAAGATGGTAAATATAGGCCAGAATGGAGGAAAGTGTCGAACAAAAGCTTGATTTACAAAGGCGTTATGTGCCCAGTGGAACTCTCTGGCCGTAGAAAATGGTTTACTTGAAAGAGTTTGGGAAAGTGCCGATGGGAAATCCACCAAGAGCCAACTGGTTATCCCAAAAGACCGAGTGGAATATGTATTAAAAGAAATACATGACGCAACTTCAGGGGCACATTTTGGAGTTAACGAGACTCTGGACAAAGTTCGGGAACGTTTTTACTGGGTTCACTATCACGATGACGTTACTGGTGCCGAAAATGCGACATCTGTGCTACCAGTAAAGGCCCTAAACTGAGATCTCGGGGGCTTATGAAACAGTACAACGACAGACTCACATTTGAAAGAATAGCGATAGATGTTGCCGGACCCTGAGTCAGAGCGTGGTAACAAATACATCTTGGTTATCATGGATTATTTCAGTAAATGGCCAGAAGTTTTCGCTAATCCCAATCAAGAAGCCATCACTGTTGCCCAGGCGCTAGTGGACGAAGTTTTCAGTCGTCATGGTGTGCCACTAGAGTTGCATTCAGATCAGGGGTATTCGTAAGACAAGGAGAACACCTTTACATCTACAGTCTGACGGCATAGGTAGAATGATTCAATAAGACCATAGAGGAACACCTGACAAAAGTGGTCGCAAAGAACTAGCGAGATTGGAACAAACACTTGCCTCTATTTTTAATGGCTTAGAGAGCAGCTATTCACGAATTAACAGGTGAAAGTCCAGCTAGAATAATTTTTGGAAGGGAACTCAGGTTACCTTGCGATCTGATGTTTTGAATACCTGAAGAAGAACGAAAAGAAATTCGAAATTATGCCGACGAAGTAAGGGCCCGACTTCTGGGTGTCCATGATTTTGCTCGGGGGCATATTCAGCTGGCCAGTGACCGAATGAAGACCAGATACGACTTGAAAGCCAATTCAGCCGGATTTCAAGAAGGTGATTGGGTGTGGCTGTATAATCCAACAAGAAAGAAAGGAATGTCACCGAACTTGTCTTCAGCATGGGAAGGACCCTACAGAATAATCATGAGGATTAATGATTTGGTTTATCGAGTTCAGCGCCACATCAGGAGTAAGATGAAAGTTGTAAATCTGGACAGATTGGCGAAATATTATGGGCGTGAAGTTGATCGGGACAATCAACCTTAAGAAGAGGACAGTGTCTCATTTTACGGTGTGCTTTCGCCTAGGTATCCAGAACGCCGCCGCCAGGATGTCAAGAATCCAATTTAGATTCGGGATGTTTGCGGTATTTTCGAGAAGAAGAGTTATCACGTGTATTCTAGATTATACACGAATAAATTACGGCTATATAAAAGGTCGCTGATTGTTGGCAGTTTTAAGTTTAAGTTTGACTGTGATATGAGTTATTGATGATTGAAATAGTGGTTATTGTTAAGAGTTCAGTTGTTGAGTTAATAATTAGGGCGGGTATTAAAAAACTACTTTGAGAGTTAACTTGAAGTTAACTTCTGGAATTACATGTAATTCAAAAAGTTAACTTCAAGTTAACTATCAAAGTAGTTTTATAATACCCGCCCTTAGTGTCAGAGTGTATAGTTACGTGGAATAAAATTATTGCTGTGTTAATTGGACTTAGAGTTTGGAATAAACGAACAACGAACCCAGGAATTCTGTCACGCACACCAAAGCCGTGATATAATGTATTACAAGAAACTAGAATGTAATTTATTACCATAGCTCATGTCTTTTCTTAGTTCATAGTACCAATATATTTTGCTCCCACTTTAGCTCATAATTTTCATATCTCTTCTCTTGTCAGTTTGACATTAATAAATAAAAAGTCAGTCTTAGCAGAATATTACAAACGTTTAGGTGTGTTTTCTTTATTTTCAAAGATTATCTTCAATTTTCAATTCAATTTCAACAGGTTTTGGCCCCAGTTCACGTAGAATCTGTGCTTAAGATTTTGCTACGTAGGTACGTTGAAATTTGGAGAATCGTGTTTCCGCGTCTGGAAAGTAGTGAAATAAACATTATCAAATCGCTTGAAAAGACCAGTAAATTCCTAGAAAATGGCGACTAGTTTCCTAGGCAGCGTCCCTAATAAGTGGGCGGGAAAACTATGACGATTGGTGTTTTGTAGTAGGAAATTTTCTTGAAGGCCTTCAGTTGAGATAACAATTTAGGGATTCAAACAGGAAATGGTTGTTCAGGCCTCTGCCTGGATTCAATAAAGAGTTAATGGGGATGGACTCACAAATTTGGTTCTCACCGACTCTATTTAGAGCAAATGGTCCAATATTCCCACACTAAAAATTGATTCTGAAACCAGGGCAGCAGTACCTATTTAAAATCCAAAAATCTGCCTTGTCTTACCTCTTATAACAATACGTGGCACTACTAATAAGCAATTCACACAAAATGGAAGCCAACAATTAGATAAAAACAGATAAGATAAGATTTATCAGGTAAAAACTTAATAAAGATATGATAATTTGAATATTGAAAAATCTATAAGGGAGGATCCAGAAATTCAAAGCAAAAATTATTTAAAAATAAAGAGGACTTGCCTGCCAGACTATTTTTCAAGGAAAGAGAGCGTTTTAGAAACCACAGCCAGCAGGAAAACGATCCCGTGTTTTTTATACTTACAGCATTTCAACCAGCTTCAACCAATCAGACGAGTACACCCAAAAGACCATATTCACTTCAAAATGAAAACACAATGAAAGACCGCATGGAATAAAAGAGAATGGATAAAAATCAACTAAAATTATTTTAATTGTTCAAATTTTTTAAATTACAATAATTTAAATTAAGGTTATGTCAAAAATAAAAAACTGTTAATTAATTAGATCATTAAGCCAAAAAATGAATATTTCAGAATCAGAAGTTAGAAAAGGACAGAAATATATCCATTTGCTAAAAGTGCGATAAATATAATTTCTTTCAATGAAAATACGAATGACTGTCAAATGCGAATTAACCAAAAATCATACTTTGAAGTATATACCATCGGGCACTAGATGGCAGTACCGAAAAATGAATTCTCGATATTTGCATTTTACGCAAATGTATTATTTGAATTTTATGGATATTTTTAGAATATTAGAAATTATTTTGAATTCTGAAATGGCAAAAATACTACTTTATAATGAAAATAAGAAGAGATTGAACATGTTACGTAAATGATAAATTTATCGTAACAATGTAAAGGAGGCAACTTCAGCTAAAGATGTGTGGGATCGCTTGAAGAAGTTATATGCCGACCAGGGATTTACAAGAAAGATGAGCTTGTTGCGCAATATAATTTTATTCAGGCTAGAAAATTGCAACACCATTGAAAGTTATATGAATCAGGTGATTGAGGCTTCACAAAAACTTAAGAAAACAGGGTTTCAGATTACTGATGAATGGGTTGGTTCTTTGCTGTTGGCTGGATTACCAGAAAAGTTCTCACCAATGATAATGGCAATAGAGCATAGTAGCCATAGATACTGAAATCATAAAAACCAAGCTATTGGATATGGTTGAAGACATTTCTACTTCTATATGTGCTAAAGGTGGTGCTCTTACTGTAAAACAGAATTTTAAGAAGAAAGATACATCACAAGTTTAGTGTTATCGATGGAGAAAGTTTGGTCATTCCATGAACAAGTGTCCCAATGGTAATTTGAATGTAGGCAAAGAAGATAAGAATAAAAAATATTCAGCTTTATCTGCAGTGTTTTTAAAGTGGTATTTCCAATGATACAGATTGGTATATCGAATCTGGTGCTTCGGTACATTTTACAGCCAGAAAGGAAAGGACATAGAGCTTAAAGAAATCATGGTAGCGAATAAGTCAACAGTTCCCATTTTATGTTCAGGTGATATACCATTGAAAACCACAATTAACAAGAAATATCATGATGTCAACATTAAAAATGCTATGTATGTGCTTGATTTAACAACTAGAGTCTGCCAACTTATCAAAAATGGAAATAGAGTGACATCTAAGAAAAACATTTGTAAAATTTTTAATGCAAATGACAAATCGATTGCAGAAGCAGAAAACATTGAAAATGTATACAAATTGTAATACAGAAAGATTCAGGGTTTAGCAAGTTTGACCGTTACCAGTACAGTATTGCATCGAAGATTCACACATATTAATTATTAAGATTTGAATATGGTGCATCAGGGTGCAGTTGACGGTGTTACATACAAAGAAAAACTGAATTTTGTCAATGAAGTATGTGAAGTTTGCTACGAAGTAAAACAGGCAAGATTCCCATTCAATCACACAGGCACTAGAGCTGAAAATAAGTTGGAAATGGTTCATGGAGATCTTTGTGGCCCAATGGAAGTTGAAGATGATAGTACTAGATACAGCTTTGTTTACTTAATCAAAAATAAAGATGAAATCACGGACTGTTTTAAAGAATTTAAACAACTTGTTGAAAACCAAATAAATTCCAAAATGAGAGGCTTAAGAAGTGATAATGAATGGTGGAGAACTTTGTAGTCATCAATTTGATGGTTTTTTGACAAAAAGTGGCATCATTCACCAAAAAACGAATCCACAATAACCCCAACAAAATGGAATGCTTGAAGGGCTTAACCACACTATTGTTGAAATGGCAAGGTGTCCTTTATTCGATGCTGATCTTGATAAAATTAGAATTTTTGGAAGTGAGGCAATGGTGCTCATTCTTAAAGCCAGGAGAGCAAAATTTGACAAAAAGTCAGAAAAAAAGGTTCTTCTGATTGGTTTTTCTTATAATTTCAAAGGCTATCAACTTTACAACCCTGAAACTAAAAAAATTGTCACCAGCAGAGATGCAGTCATTATACAGAAAGAAAGAAAAAATCTACCACTCAAGAAACAATGACTGGTCAGGTAAGGGATGTATTAGATGAAAATCAACCAGATGAATCAAATGACTGGAGTGAAAATATGCAAAGTTTATCATTTGACTCGAATTTTCAAGATACCGAAGATGACAGTGACTTCAATGTGCCGGGAAATCAGTTGAATAACGGAACTATCAACGAGAAAGTCAGGGACAGTGAAAAAGCCTAAAAATTTTACAGATTATGCTTCTTACATGCGCATAGGTAATGTTGACCTGGAAGATGTTCCACTAACTCTACAAGAATCGCTCTCTCGACCAGACGCAAATTGTTGGAAAAGGGCAATGGAGGACGAGAGTTCAGTTCAGAAAAATGATGCGTGGGACTTGGTGGATTTACCTGAAAGTGGAACTGTGGCGTCGGTCGTGCAAGTGGATTCAAAAAAAAGCATGGTGAAAATAGACTGACTTATCGAGCAACATTAGGGATTTTTTTAAAGGCTTTTATTTGCATTATGTTTAAAACTAAATTTAAGATTTACTCATTTGGATTTTAAAACTGCCTTTTTGAATGGTTTTCATAAAGAAAATGTTTTAATGAGACAACCAGATGGTTTTGTAGATAAAGAAAATGCACGTGAGGTATGTAGACTCAACCTTCCAGTGGGCGCGATGTGTCATTTCATTTGTGCGGGCCCTTGTCGTAAATTTTACGTCATCATTTTTTCTCCAAGTAAATGGTGTTTTTCTACGACTGCTTTAGAAAGCTATTAGAAACGCACTACTAACTTACCTGGAAAATCAATTATTCCGCACAGCGTGCCAAAAGTAATTTTTCACACGCTTTTGCGTGCGAAAAGTACTTTTCACACGGTTTTGTGTGCGAGAAATACTTTTCACACGCTAGAATTAACATCATTTTATTTCTGGAACTATAAGTTTAAATGAGCTGAACTTTCTAGGGATTGTAGTCCTCCACTGGAATAAGAATCGCTAAGAATTATATTTACAAAAATCTAAATCATAAGAGAATGTGAAAAGTTGAGGAAATCAAATATATTGTGGGTGCGGAATTCCAAGGAGAATACACACTCTAAGGGTAACTCAGACAGAACCTTCGTTCAGATGAGAACGCTGTTCCCCAATTTCGAGAATAAAGACCACGGAGTGCTTATCGGCCTCGTTTTGGATAATCGCCGCCATATTGGTGTGATACCATTTCTGACGTCATAACTAAATTGTCAGCTGTTTAAACAGCCTACGTCAAGGCGACAAATAACATGCTGCCTACGTCACAACTGGTATTTTGGCGTGGGGGGAAGGGGGATAGGTCATCCTGTAGAAGTAGTGTGTATCATCCTTGGCGGAATTCAACATAGAAGATATGGACAATCTGAGCGGTTTTCTGAGTCAAAGAACAGAGAAGAGCATATTTTTGAGTTAGAAGCCGCATCTAAAAACCTCCCTAAGTAATGCGATTTCAAGTGGACAAATGCAATCAAAACATCGATACAATTCAAATACCAGGAAACAGAATCTACAGTTCAATGAACAGAGCTTTCACAATACAAATTAATGGTACTTATAGACTAGAACTGAAATAATTCGCTTTGTTGTATCGACACTTATCAATAACTTGAAAATTGCATGTTTTCAACACATTTTCCAGACAAAACAATTTGAATAAGCCGTTTTTCCATTCGTTATTTTTAACGATCGTAGAAAAAGGTCAGCAAGCAAGAATACTAGCGCACTAAAATTCATTAGTACTGAAATAATCCGTTCAATATTTTATGCATCTCCAGTGCTGCAGGTCATTAAGCGAGTTTAGAATCGGCCTTTGTCCAACGCGTTAAGTGCTTACGTTTGCATATTTCAACAGAAATATATAATAGATAAACTATAATGCAGGAATAAGTACATTTAGCCAAGAGGTACGGGTTATTATTATTCTCGTTTTTGTTATTTATTATCTAGGATTTCGCTAGAATTTAATTTAATCAAGTTAATTTTAAAATAAACCCGGAAGTTAATAGAAGGCACACACTCTGACGAGACGCCTGTCTGTATCCTAATTGAAACTCACCCTGTGGCTGCGAACCTCGCAAACGCCTGCATGATCTTCAGACTCAGTTCTCGTTCCCTCGAGTTAAATTGCAGCGACATGTTCAGAGGGTGACCGAACACGTATTCTATCTCGTCTCCGTGCATTACGCCCATCCACTCGCCCCACAATGACGTACTTGTCCTCTGAAATAAAAATACAAAACGTTAATGCAATATCCGGATTGGATTAGAAACACTTAAAAGAATACACACTGTGATAATAAATTTTTTATTATAGGTAAATGTTATTTGGAGTTTCTTTACCTTTCACAGCATGTATTCGCTTAATTTGTTTTTTTTTTTCAATTTACAATATATTATATTACGCAAAATATATCAAAACAAATTTCAATACACGATATTTTTCTTCAACAACAGATTAATACATTTTCAACCAGGAAAACCTTTATGCGAAAATAATAAAAGATTTTTCGAGATGGATATATTTCGTCCGTGAATCATTAATAATCCCGTTGAAAGTACTTGAATTGGTTTACTTGACAGGTGTATACGGTTTTGAAGCAAAATATCTGAAATTTATTATCGAAAAAAAAAAAAAACTCACAGATGAACAAATCCAGACGTTTTTTTACCGTAAATCAAAATGCAAACGCCAGACCACCCTCTTGCCCTATCTAAGACTGCTGTTTACCGAAAGCTCTATTGGTTTTATGAAGAATAGGACTCACTCAGAGGTCATGAATTATGCATTTAAAGAGGTGTTATAAGCTAGTTTTAGTTTCTGAGTGCATGGAAAGTTCACCAGTGAATTTGCGTGTGTTAATATAAATTCGCATGTAAATCCGATACTGTTGGAAAACTCTGCGCCACGATCGATGTGGATTTTTATCTATGTTTCTATAGTATTTGAAGGAAGCGCGGACGAGTTGAGGATATGTTCATAAAATAAGATGTAAGTGGAGATTGTTGAGGAAGCAATTTTTTTCATTGTAATGAGACAAAAATTCAAGAGATGATTCCATTTGGAAGATACAAATTTCATAGAGTGCCATTTGGCTTGAGTAATATACCAGAAACTTTTCAAAGAAAAAATATGGGAATTTTTGATGATATTCCAAATGTGAATATATATTTTGATGATTCAATTATATCCGGATTTGATGATAATACCTCTGTTCCAACCGGCATGAGAACCGTTCTAGAACGGTAATTTCCAATCGATCAAATCATTTGTCAAGTAGGATAAACGATCAACTTATTGAAAAATAGGTGGGCAACTGGAAATTACTGGTTCTGGATCGGTTTTCATGTCGGTTGGAACAAAGTACTTGAAAATGCCCTTAAATTCAACATATTTAATTTTGATAAATTGCAATATAAAATTAGGAAAGTCAAAATTTTAAGTCAAATTTTGCATTCCTAACCTCAAATTGCAAAGAATGAGTCCTCAAGAAAAATATTTTTTCTATTGTAAAAAAGTTGTTGTTAATTATGTGTCACGTAACAGTTGCAAGACCAGTTGCGCCAAAAAATCTAACGCAATGAGAAGTGGATTAGTTAAGTGCCCCAATTGTTTGAAAAGTGAGGCTAAATCATCATGTCTCACGCATATTGCTTGCCGTAGTTCCAGTGCTTCACCTGTTAATTTTGGTGGGTCCAGACTCTTTTGATTAGCTCACAAAAACAATTATGGAGCTTTACAACATTCCGTTTAAATTCGCTGAGCTAACTCAAGAAAACAAAAGGGTTTTGGACGAGCTAAAAGTGGTGAAAAAGAAAAATTCAGTGCTTAAAAGCAAGCTCACTAAAATGCTAGAAAGAAATTTATATCTTGGAATTAAAGAGGAGCCTTTGAACATAGAAATTCAAGGTACGCAGGTGAGAGATGAAAACCCAAAGGATATTTTAAAAGAAATAAGTAATAACCAATTAATTTATAAATTAGAAGATCATGAGATTCTACAATGCATCAAAAAAGTAACTAAGAAGAGGACAATTATTTCTGCGAAGCTTCTAAATATTGAAGTAAAAAATGGCCTATTGGCCAGTAGGAAACATCGCAGCATTGATTCGAAAATGTTGAAATGCAACACCTCCAAAATTTATGTTAATGATGAACTGACCCAAATAAACAAGTATTTATTTAGTTTAGCCTACAAAATCAGCAAAGAAAAAAGCTATAAATTCTGTTGAATTAAAAATGGTAGAGTATATCTAAGAAAAATTTAGGAGTCCTCAGTAGTTCTCGTTGACAATGAACATTCGCTGGAAACCTTATCAGATGGCTGCATTCACCAAAGAAATAAAGCATTTCGCTAGTCTAAATCAACATAGCGACAGTCAAGGGTCTAACACTCTAGAACCAAATTTTTTTATTTTATATTTGAATCCTCAGTTCATTAGAAATGAGGTAAATGATATAGAAGCTTTGGTAAATGGTTCAAATCTTCCAGATGCTATTGTTATAACTGATGTAGCATGTGAAATGCTACTGTTGATAATTGTTCTATTTTCTTTCACATATAAATTTATAAGTTGGATTGTTACCTTCAATGTTGACAGTCTGGTGACTGGCATTAAAAAAAAAAGGTTGCTAATAATTAAGCAATTATAGAACTAGAGGGCATGATTTTCGTTCAAGTTTCAAGTACGAGTTTAGTACCAACACTTTCCGTTGGCTAATTTTTGAAAGGAAGCTCTGCCTGTTCATCTTGTCTAATCTTGTCCGTTTTTTTCTCGCCCCTTTGAAATTTTGTCGTTCGTCCCAAAAAAGTTGATCCTGGGCTGAAAACCGCCGTCTTCTTGAGACAACCGTGCTCGTGGAAAATAAAGTACCTTATCGGCCATCAGGCATTATTTGCGTAAGGGAATAATCCGTTGATTACCGAAAAAATTTAAATCAAAAGTCTTGTGATTACCGTTTTATTCAAGTTTGAATTTCGAACCCCTCGTGGTAAGTACTTTTTAATTTTTTTTAAAGTAATGGTTGTTCATGGAATGCCTCTATTACTTAGGGTTTTCCAAGGAACCGTTTTTCCCAGGGTCGTTTTTTCCGAGGAGCCGTTTTTTCGAGGAGCGTTTTTTCCGAGGAGCCGTTTCTCTCAACGAATCCATTTCCAGAAAGCCTCATTTTTAAAAGAACACCATTTTCGTGGAGAGTGGCATAGAGCTTTTTAAGGGATTCCTAGAGGAATCAAAACCCTCACGTATTGACTCCTGTATTGAAACAAGGTAAAAATAAATTGCAACTGGTGGCTGACTAGTGGCAGTGCATTTCTTTGTATTGTAGTATTCAATTCAATCACCTTTACCTTGTTTCAACTGACTTTAAAAAGACTATACCTTCACATTTGATGACAACTGAGAACTTCTAGCCTTTATCTACCTTGATTCAAGGCTAGAATCTGCAACTTCCATGTGCAACTTCCCTGGTCAAGTGAAAATGGATGGCAGGTATAAACAAACCGAAACGGGACCTGGATTTGACAGCTTAAGCATTGATACAATCGAGGAATTTGAAAATGAAATATCGCCTGCTTTATGTAAGTTGATATATCTTGTTTTTATTACTAAATCTGTAATAAGTCATAAGTCTGTTTAAATTGGCAAAGGTTGCCCCTTTGTTTAAAGGTGGTGATAGCACAGAACTAAACAATAACAGGCCCATTTCCTTGCTCCCAGTTACATCTAAATTATTGAAGACCTGTGTGTAATTAACCAGTTATTTGGATGGAATAAATTTTTGGTATGCGGGTCAATATGGATTCAGAAAATACAGCAATACCTCCTCAGCAACTACAGACCTAATTACAAGTATTTATGGAAAGGTTGATAAGGGATATAAGTGTGTACTTGTCTCGCTGCACTTAAGAAAAACTTTTGATACAGTAAATCACAAAATTCTCGTGGAGGTGCTTGAAAAAACTGGTATTGGAAGTTCAGCACTACTATAGTTAAGGGATCATCTATCGGGCAAACTACAGTATGTTGAATGTAAAGGTAACAGAAGTAGAATGGGAAACCTTGTACACGAAGTGTCCTAAGGGGGGGATCGACACTCTTCCTAGTCTACATGAACTCACTTTCATACATACCTGTTCAAGGTTCTCGCAATTCATATGCAGATGATACTTGCATCACTTATTATGACAAGAGCCCTGCTAACTTTAAAATCATCATGAAGACTTACAGAAAATAATAGATTGGCTGTTACCACAAACTTAGTTTAAATGTAAAAAAATCAAGCTATATGGTAATATCAAAGTTTGTTGCCTGAATTAACGATAAACTTTCAACATCTCCTATTGACTCGTGCAAAATGCATCAAATACCTGAATCTCTTTGTCGATTCGAAACTTACTTGGGATATGCATATCTTGCATATACATCGGCCATATTACAATACTTTTTCAAAGAAAAATTCATAAAAATCGTGTAAGCCGTTTTCGGGATAATTGAGACGTTCCATAGGCTCTTAAACTTAAAACTCACTCTGTATGTAAAAATATTACACCAGCAACTGGAATACTTGGTCGAATATCGGACTATCTTATCCATTACGCATCTTAACATGATATACAATTCCCTTATCCATTCTATGCTGCTTTGAAGCAATACTTCCTTTAACAAACTGCATCCATTGTCAGTTCTCCAAAATCGTGCTATATAATAGTATATTATATACCTAGGTAGAGAAGTTGGTAGCGCTTTTATAAACCGAGGCGCGAAGCGCCGACGTTTATAATGCGTAAGGTATATAATAACTTTCTCTACCGAGGAATATATAGAATTTTTTTTACTAGTGCTAGTAGAAAATAAAAAATTGGTTTGAAATCTGGGCTCAAATTATTTTTTCTTGCCGAAAGTGCTGCCCTCTATCATCAGCTGATGGTAATTTCCTATGATGTACATAGATACAGGAACCTGTTTTTGATTAAGCCCAAAATTTCTATTTCCAACAAAATACTTATATTATCCGAATGACATCCTGGACATTCATGTCTTGCAATCATGCATCTTTATCCAGTCTTGCAAGACTTCCAATATTCAGTCTACGTCAAGTCTCATCCCAGCCAACACAATCCATCACCACAATACCAGACTCAATGAAAACTTAAGAATCTCGACAATGAAAACTACAACTAGTCAACGTGTTGCGCGTAAAGTTACCCTTTAACTGTTTG